CTGACTACCTGGGTAGCTACCTCAGATGAGTGACCAGGGAAGTCTCAGAAAGTGACTAAGACTTGAGTGTGATGAGGAGGAATCAGATATGCAAAAATCAAGAGAGAAGTATGTTCCACACGTTACTATCTAAGCAACAGAAAAAGCAAGCAGACACCAGATCATGAAGCCACTGTAAGCCTGGAGAGGAGTTTGCACTCTATTCCAAGCCCTAGGAAGCCAGTGGAGAGCACCACTGTAACAGAGTCTGATTTACACCTTTAAAATATCCCCTGACCATCATGTGAGTAATCAGTTGTAAGTCAAGAGTGGATGTAGGGACCGGCATGGTGGTGCATGCCTGTAATCCCAGCACTTGAGAGGCTGAGACAGGATTGCTGTAAGTTTGAGGCCAGCTCAGTACAAAGTTCAAGGCCAGCCTGAACTGCATAGCAAAACTGTCTCAAAAAAAAAAAAAAAAAAAAAAAATGTGGAGATAGGGAGACCAGTCAGGACACAGCTGTATGGTCACAGTCATCCAAACAAGAGACGGAGGCTGCCTAGATTGGAATCTCAGTGCCAGAGCAAAATTAAGCCATCCAATAAAATGTATGTTTTGGAGGTAAAGTTGATAGGCTCTACTTGGGAAACTGAATGGGGAAACAAGGAGAAGAAAGAATTATGGATAAACTCTGGGTTTGCAGCTTCAATAATTGGGTGGATGGCGGTTGTGGTACACTGTGATGGGGAAAACAAGGCAAAGCAGAACCAAGGCTCCTGGGACAGGAGCTTCAAGAAGTCAGGACTAAAGACCAAGGTGCTCATCACTGGCACACTGACAGCATTTGAAACCATGGGCCTTGAAGAGATCAGCTCAGCAGAACAGATCCGCAGGCACCTCCCAGTTCGGTGCCAAAACGTAAAGGGGTCTGAGGAAGTGCCACCAGAGACCAAGAAGAAAATCCAGATTCAATGTAAACACAGAGGCAAGTGAGGAAAGACAGAATGGTCATCTTGTGGAATGCTACGAGAGGTCAAATAGGTTATGGACAAACAAGGGGCCTTTAGATTTAGCAACAAGACAATGGCCACATCAAAGACAATCTCCAGAGACTTGGGGTCTAACTGGAGTAACCAAGAAGATGCAAGGTAAGGAAGCAGAGGGGACAGTAAAAAACTGTAAATGTCATTATCTAACCTGGTTCAAAAGATACCCTGAACATTTTACTGTCCACGTCTTAGTTTAATACATCTACCCTCTTTCTCCCCAACTTATTCAAACAAGTATGTCTACAAAGGAATGCACAGAACCTAGAGACTGATCCAAGAGTCAGGCTTCCTCATTTAACAGTTACATTTCCTACACACATGTAGCCAGTGGGTGTCTTCCAAGATGCTAAATGTGCACATATAAGATGTCTGAGAATGGCCCTTAAACACGTCTAGGGAGGATATTTATTGATGGACCTACACACATGAGATATACTGAATCTGTTAATGGTTTCTGTCAGAGCAATGGTCTCAGAGCATCACCTGCCTCCATCCCACACACTCCAGGCAAGAAATCTATCTGAAATCAACTATCTCCACATGCTCACTTTCCAATGGGAAAAGAACTCTGTAATAACTGTAAAGTATCATAGTAAACCACAAATGGGAGAGACATAGACATATGTGTTTAGGGATAAATCCATGAATGATTCATTTTTAATTGTAATATATATATATGTATCTAGCTATTTGAAAATTATAAACCAAAAATACTATTAATACATGTATGCATCATTCATGATACAAAGAATTAACCAAACAATAAACTTACCTGACAATAACAATATTACACAAAGTTATTGAAATGTAAGAGTAATTAAAATGTGCTAATGGTGCCATCCACAATTTGAAAACTAAACTAATTCAAAACAAATCCCAACTGAGAGTGGGCAAAGTGCTGTAACCAAAAGGATGGCAAACACTGCGAGACAGAAAAGCATCCTGGAATTGCAAGTCAGCTTTGGTGAAAAAATTGGTTTTAGGAATCTGTAGCAAGGCCACTAAATAAAATACCAAATAAGGAACTTCATACATATAAAATAAAAGTATATGGAATTACACAGCACTCTCTGGGAGAAGCAAGAACTGAGTTCGCACACAGGGTAGTGAGTGACCCCCAGGAACTGGTGGGTTTGGCTCCTCATACAGCAGTCAGGTCCACAGACGCTGCTTTACAAAAATACTGCTGCATCAGGTTCCCACACCCAGCACAGTGGGACAGGCTGGCCAGAACACTCGACTGCTCAAGACCAGTGCTGGAGCAGACCTATCACTGCAATGGCAGACCAAAAGGATAACCTGCTGGCCCAAAACTGTTTCACGTTTTACTTGGAATGTTGGACTGCTTTCTATTTTACAGTACCTGAATTAGTACCAAAGTTTTAAAACTGGACAACTTTATGGTTTAAAAAAAATAGTTTTCTGCTTCTCAAAAAAGCAAAGACCAAGCAAGACCTAGCTATCTCTGTAGCTGTAGCATATACATTCCAAAGTCCCGCTGTCCCCTCCAGAAAATCTAAGTCATATGTCTGCTGCTATTTGCCTTTGAATCTGTGCAGTCTCTTGTTAAGTCTGGCCTGTTTCATTTATTCCTGCTACCTTTCAATTCTCTATCATTTGAATTTGCAACTATTATCGAGTACGGTATGTTGAGGTCCCCTAATGGTCTACCTAGAAAAAAGACTACAGTGGTCAAATGAGAGGTCAAACAGGTTAAGGACAAATAAGGGGCCTTTAGATTTAGCAACAAGCAATGGCCACATCAAAGACAGTCTCAAACAGAGTAACATAGTTACACAGTAAAGACAATAAAGATCATAGTGAAAATGTTAGCTGCTGATGTTCTTCATTGAACAACTTGCAAAGGTCAGAAAAAGCAAACTTTTTCCCTTTTCCTTTTCTAAACATCAATCTCAATAGTACAAAGATTCATAGAGTTTTGTTGTTGTTACTAACCTGAGAAGAGCTTATTTGAGGACGTTGATCGTTCATAAATTAATGTTTTAAGTTAAAAAGCCAAATATTTATCTAATGGGCTACAGATAAAACTCAGTGATAAGACTGCTAGCGTAGCATGTGCAAGGCCCTGGTTTGATGCTCAGCACTGTCAACACACACACACACACACACACACTCCATTAATCTGTTTTGAACAGTGTTTGGCTTGGTTTGGTTTTTTTGGTTTTTTATTTTGTTTTGTGTTGTTTTTTTGGTTTTGGTGCTGGGAATTGAACTGATGACCTCAATGCTGTGCTGCTGAGCCATATCCCCAGTCCTGTTTCAAACAGTTTGATAATAGATTTAAGGTAGCAGAAGGAACCACATTTCAAAAGAACAACCTAAACTGGACCTGATGGCACACACCTGTAATCCCAGCACTTTAAGAGGCTGAGGCAAGAAGACTGCAAATTCAAACCCATCTTGAGCAATTTAATGACTTAAGACCTTGTCTCAAACTTTTAAAAAGTTCAAAAGGACTGGGGATACGGCTCTGGGTTCAATTCCCAGTACAACAACAACAAAAAAAGCCCATCAAATAGAATGGAAAAAAATTACATGGCATTGTTCTAAAATACATTTCTTTTTTTTTTTTTTTTTTTTTTTTTTTTTGGTACCAGGAATTGAACTCACCATCTCCTGTTTACCAAGCAGGCACTTACACCACTGAGCTAAATCCCTGGAGCTCTAAAATACCTTTCTTTTCTTATGTGTGGCAATTACAAAGGCTTTTTAACTATATAAACATTACCATTTTTAGTACATGTGCTGCCAAAATTGGTCCCAATGACCAATTTTACTGCTTAAATTTTTAGATGATACAAATCTTCTTAACCTTTAATAAACCAAATGAACAACTGAAGTATTGGTTACTAGCGACCAACTGGCTAGCATTATCGTAAGTCATCAGGTACTAAAAACAAAATAATCTTCTACAGGCATACACATAATCAAACACTGTAACATCAATTTCCTCTTTTATATCACTCACACAAATAAAAGCAGCCTGGAAGGAGAGAACAAACCGTATTAAGACATTAATATGCATATGTGCTTTGGAGACCAGGAAATGGCTATTGTTGACAAACAGTCAACAAAATTGGCCATTTTCTTCCCTATCCGTTGCTTAGGAGTCACTGTCCAAATTCCAACACCATGAGATATTCTCGCCAAAACACCTGGACCAAGTTCCAATCCATCATGCCCAATACTCCCTAATTTTCGTTAAAGAAATTCTGTATCCAAATTGCAGAACAAGAAACCACATTAAAGGAAGTCTGGCTTTGAGACAAACTGCCCAGAAGACTAGAATGAAGCTCACTGTAACTTTAAAATAACTTTGCTCTAATTTGTTACTAGCTGAACATTTTCCAGTAATCTTGTTTCCCAGAGTAGTATATCAGACTTCTGCACTTCACTCTATTTTTAAAACAAACCAAAATCTACACTAACCACAAAAGTCGACTAACCACATAGCTACAAGTATTATTCCCCAAGGGTGTCTTTTCTGCAAGTGTTAACAGTACACAGTATATCAAAGAGCATATTAACACTTGCAATGCTATATTTTTTGAATCTGCTTAACTTTGGGCTCAATTAAAACTTCATTTGAAGTAACAGTACCCAGGGGCTGGGGATTTAGCTCAGCGGCATAAGCGCCTGCCTTGCAAGCAGGCAGTCGTGAGTTCGATCCCCAGTACCGATAAAAAGGAAACAGACCAAAAAGAAAAAAGGAAAAAAAAAAAAAAAGAATAAGAAAAAGAAGTAACAGTACCCAGTGACTAAGGACTACCCAGAACAGTTTTTGCCACTTTCAACCAAAAACTGGAGTCTGAAAATGGTGTTTGCTTTTTAGCCGATTAACAACATGTGGCCGAGCGATAATACTGCCGCTTTCCCAAGGACACTCTTCTGGTTTTGAACTTTCTTCGTTGGAAAATCAAGTCCAAGGGACGCCGTGGGAATCCACTTACCCGATCCTTCATTCTCCAGCTCTGAGCTAGGGATTTGGAGCCTTCAATTTTCTCACAGTGTCGCTTTTTCATAAAAGCCAAAGGCAAATTCCAGTCTGTAAGGTCGGCCTCATCTTCCTCCCCGAGTCCCAAAAGGGGCGACTGCAGCATCTCCGACTCCATCAGCGGGGGAGGAGGTGGGGGAGTCCTTGGCAGTAAACGCTCGAGAACCTCCAGCCTTAAAATCTAGCGTATACTAGAATTAAAATAAAATATAGAAAGAAGGGGAGCCGTAAAGTAGTGTTCGGAGACCCTTATGTCTTAACTCTGCGCGGGAAGTCGGAGAAGAGTGGTAAAAGCGGATGGGAAACGGGGCAGCCCAGGGAGCTCAGCACAGAAACACGCACACCCAGATCCCCAGCCTCGGGCTGCTTCTGAGGCTGTCCTTTCTCAGTGGGACTGCCAGCGGAGTTGTCAAAGGCGTGAGCGACTTCGGGCCTCGCGATGACCCGGCTCTCGGCCTCCAACGCCTGAGCAGATCCAAGGACGGTCAGGCCGCCCGCTCCGGTGCCGATTCGCCGCTTGCGCCGACTGGACTGAGGTCTCCGGCCAAAGGGAACAGAGTCAGAGCGCCTCGGTCACGTCGGGCCACCCTCAGCCCTGCGGGTCCCGCACTCGCCTCAGGTGCTGCAACCAGAGCCAGGACCAGCCCATCGTGCTCGCCCGCAGCCGGTTCCTCAGCCCCGGGTCCGCGCGGCCTCGCTGGCCCTGGCCTTCGGCCCGTAGCTCCTTTCTGCCTGAAAATGAGCCTCGAAGAACTGGCGACACGGACGTGCGGATAAAACGGGTAATGTAGTCTTACTGGGTTAGGGGAGTTTTGCCCTTTGGTTTGGAGCTACAGTGAAACTCCTCTCATCAGCACACCAAGGAGGACGCCATATTGCCAAGGCCCAGCATGCTCCGCGACCTACGGTGCGGCCAACAACCCAAATCTTTTCTAGCGTTTTCACCGAGTTTCCCAGGCTATAGGGGAGCTAGAGAAGTCCCCGCCTCCGTTGCCCTGGTGACCGCGGTTTGGTTTTCTATCTATACTGCCTTTCTTTCAAGCAGCTTCTCGTTACAAAAGTTAATCAGAGGCTGAAACTATGTCCACTTAGTTATTTCTTTTAAAAAGATTTTTGCTACTACAAATGGAGCTACATACTTCTGAATTAAAGAGACCACATTGTTTCCTCCAGGTTTTGAAAAGGCTGCAAAAACTTTAGAAAGAATCGTTGATTATATCACAAAAGATTGAGGGTTTTGGGGATTTTGATCGGCTTTGGGAAGGTACATAGTATCCTCCACAGTGTCAAGTAGATTTTCTTTGTAATGTTTCCGTAGAAAACCAAGTGAGAAAAAACTCGATTATAATTTTTTGTTTAATCCATTTTATTTTCTGATCAGTTTCTTATATTAATAAAGCTTCCTGTGCAAATAATTAAAGTTATAGTTTCTATAATGGAGGCAAGCCTGCATTAACTTCATTTGTCTATTTCAATTCACTAAATTTTGCCTACTGGTGATATGTGGATTACTTAGTTAGTACAGTGGTAGAGCTGTTGCAAGCATAGATGAGCCCCTGGGATGGACCCACACACACATACGCACACAAAACTCAGGAAAGGGAGCAAGATCTGAATGTGGCATACAGTGCCTGCCAGTAAAACACACGCCTAGCCATTAAAGGGAACAAAAGCAGACAAATCTAGGCTTTTCTGCCTTCCGTGCCTTCAGGCTCTGATGCCAATGGAGTCTTGGCTGTATTATTTTCCACCTCTGTCATCTTGGACAATCTCAGTTTCCGAAACTATAATATTTGGATAATATGCTCATTTGGAAGAATAAAATTAACTTGTGAAGGTGCCTAGTTCTCAATGTGTTCACTGAACATTAGCATCAACAGATCTTGGACTACTGCAGTCTAGCATCCATGTGCCTCATTGATCTAAGTCCTCCGATTGGTCCCCACTAGATACTGTCCCTCCAGATTGTTTTCCTAGATTTGGACACCATGTGTTAGTCCATATCCAAATGGTGTCATCAGTGTTCCTTTCAGCCTGAGACCAGATGTAGCATTTCCAGATCTTCCTCACCTGCCACTTAGCAAGTGTTTAGTAGAAGTTGTTGGGTCAATTATCATCCTAAATATCCATAAGGCTATTATATCCCACTAAGTTTGTGGAGTGATCGGTCCACCATGTGGCTGGAACTGAATCACTGGAAGGGACTTTGGAGAGAATATAGATATGGCTGGTTTTATACAATCATCCTCCCACTAAAATTCAGGGCAAGGCAACAGAACACTAAAGAGATTTAACCTTTTCTTTCCTAGCTCTCTGTTGGCAGAGAATAGACCCGTGGTGACCAGCAGAGGCTTCGAGGCTGCATAGAATCAAGAATACCCCATTTTCACCTAATGGCATCAAAATAACTCCTGTGTCTGCTTTGTCACTTGCCCTTCTCTCATAGCCCTGAAGCAGGCACCAGTGCAGGCAAAGGTCCTCTTCCAACCCTGGGCTCCACATAGCTCTGCTCCAGGCACTCTTGCAGGAAACCACAGCTACAGAAAAGCAGCAGCATTAAGCCTTTTTATCCCTGACCAGCTCTATGACTTGGAAAACCCATTTCATCTCTATATACTCTCTTTTTTGTTGTTTTGTTTTTGTTTCTGTTTTTGTTTTTTTGAGACAGGTTCTCACTATGTAGGGCAGCTGGTCTTGAACTCACTTATGTAGCCCAGGGTGACCTAAAACTCATGACAATCCTCCTGCCTCCACCTCCTGAGTACTGGGATTACAGGCACGTACCACCAAGGCCAGCTCATCTTTATTTCTCTGTTTTGTAAAAGCATGTGACCTTGGGGATTCCACTTACTTCATAGAATGGTCTAAGTAAAAGATAATAAGTGAGTTCGCTGAAATTCAAACTCAGCAGACGGTCAGAATCAGCCAGAAAACTGTTTTTTTAAATAAGACTATTTAAAAATAGAGATACCCAGATTCCAGCCTAGACCTGCTGAATCAGAGGGAGCAGGAAGACGAGAGGTTCAGGGTCTGTGTCTTTACTAAAGTAATCCTGATGATTACATAAAACCGGTTAGATTTGGGAACAGGAAACTACAGTCTGTCCAACAACCTAAGCAGTGATTCATTTCCAGCCTCACAGTGGGACCTCCATAAACATTTTCACTGAATAAATAAATGCTATGAAGCAACTCTCCAAACTTCCATCTAACAGAATAAGACAACTTTACCTTCTCCCAGAACTGCAGACCAAAGCTACCCTTTGCTATTGCACAAATGTGACCCAGAACCAAAAGGGCACGTGGGCCTGTGTTTTGGACTAAGGACAGGGACACACTACACACACACACACACACACACACACACACATCCCCAGCCCACACCAATTCCTGTAGGCCTCAAAGCCTCTGCTCTTTTCTGCCCTCAGTCTCCACAACTGTGACACTTGAAGTCTCACAACTGTGAACTTGAAGAAGGTAAATGTCTAAGAGTAGTTCAGGTGCAAAACTTGTGTAAAAAAAGTTGGGGGGATGTCACAGGCCAACCCACAACCTGAAGGTTCACAACAGACTTAGCTCATTTCACGACATCATGACACTTGAATGAAACCGCCACTCAGCCTGCCCTGGATTCTTGTTCATGGCCCAGACAAGCACTGAGAGGAGCCATTGAAAGGCAGAAAGCCTCTTTGACCAATGTGAGTCTGGAAAATTCAAGGAGAAATATTTTTCACCATGTAATCAACTTGCCATTTAGGCCTACAGTTCTAATTTTCAGTGTCCCCAACTCTTCACAAGCAAGGACATTAGCTTTCCACAACAGCTCTAAATGCTGGGATTAATTTAATCTTGAAAACAAGTGCTATAAAATGCAGGAAAGCATATCTGATTGAAGTTATGAATACGGGATAAGGTATTTGTGATAAACTGTCCCCTGAGTCTCTTATAGTCACCTACCAGGAGGTGAATGTGGAGGTGTTTGTAAGCTGAGCACCCCTAAAACAACTGGCTGATGGGCAACAGCTGGCTATAGATTTAAGGCTGGAAATGAGAAGGGGCTTCCAGATGCAATCTGATTCAAACTAGCAGAATGACCCTCGATCTGTCTGACTCGGGGAGGGAGCTTCATCCTTACTGTAGGGCTGTATATTACATGACAGCTTCCAGCCCTAAAACTCAGGCTGCTTGGCAAGCAGAAGCCAAAGATACAGCAAAGCAAGAGAACAAATACAAGAACCTGAAGCCAGGTGTGATGGCACACACCTGTAACCCAGTACTTGACAGGCTGGAGCAGGAGGATGAAGAGTTCCAGGCCAGCCTGGGTTACACACTGAGTGCAAGGCCAGCCTTTGCCTGCACTGGCCCGTGCTGCAGGGCTATAAATCAAGGGCAGGTGGCAAAGCAGGGTGTTCAGCACATACCCTGAACAGAAGTCAGGGAGAGAAGCAGGGGGGAAACCGGGCCAGGAGGAAGGTCTGGATGAATGGCTCCTGTAAGCAGCCTTTCACCAGGAAGAACAAAGGAGTCAGTCGGAACATGCCCAGCCCCAGCTCAGCTTCAGCTCCTTGCCAGTGACATCAAGACAGATGTCACAGGGAAGCGCTGCAGCTGGGATGGGCTCCAGTCCATCCTCTAATATTGCATGTTCTCTGTTAAATCAATCAAGGGCACAGAATATGTTTTGTCATCAAGTATCAGGAATGAGCGGAGGTCAGGGAAGTCGAGACAACAGGAGCTTCGCTGAGCTATTGTTTTCCATGCAGGGAGAGCAGCCAGCTCCCCTCCCTCCCAGAGAAATCTCTGCTTAGCTTAAAAGAAACCAAAATAGATACAAAGTACTTTGCTTTTGTCTGAGCATTATTACTCTGTTTTTAGCAAAATCCAAGCCATACTCTCCCCCAACCCAGGTCAGATGATATTTGTTGACTGCAAAGTGAGAAGGGGGGGCGGGATGTGGTGCCTCAGCCTCACCTTCCCTGGAGGCTGCTGAGAGTGGCAAGTCTGCCTCCCTCTCTTCTCATCCCTCTAAAAATATAGTGACATTCATGTACCTCATTTCCACCTTCCTGAGTGTGCCTTCCTAGTTCATTTTACCATGAGTGTGTGGAGGTGAACAGGCAGGAGTAATGTCATTCCCTTTTTTAAAAGGGAGCTGCCCACTATATAGCATGGGGACCATAGTGAAAAGTGCTTCGTGTTGGATAAACTTCACCCACTACCCACATTTCTTCCTTAGAATTGAATATTTTTTCATAGTCCCCATTTCAAAGAGCTCGGACAAGACACAGCCAAGAAGGAACCTGCAGAAAGGCAAGGGACAGAAGAGAATCCTTAGCAAAAACTGAACTGGCACTCTGCATTCCGCCTTCCCCTGGGGATTCTTTCCCCCTGAGGTGTCATTGAAGGAGGGAGGAGGCTCTCCCGGGACCTGTGAGCTTAGAGCAAGGAGCTGCAAGAGAAGGTGCCCCAGGCCCAGTCCCCTAGATCTGGGTTCCATCTTGGGCATACTGATCAGCTCTAGGAGTCTCATCTCCAAGACATTTCTAGACCAGACACCACTCTCCAGGCCCCTGAGGAATTCTTGGTGAGAAATGACAAAGGCAGTTGCAAGTTCCTCCCTCCCCAAGGACCCTGGAGATACAGAGACAGGGTCTGTGTTCTTCGCAGACACAGTGTTAATGAAAAGGAGAAGGTTTTATGATTGAGATTATATTGAAGAAATTTGCTATTCAATAAAAACATCCAAAAATTAAATTAAATTTTAAAAAAACCATCAAAACTGAATTTTTATAACCTTTTATTTCAATAATATTGCCTAGAATTATGCTTTTATGAAAATACAAATAAAATAATCATCTGTCTCCTTTCAAACTCGTCATCTGCTATTTTACATAATATTTACACAGTGATT